TTAAATCTGTAACTATTTTTTCATTTAGGTTGAAAATAACCTTTCTTTAGGGAAGCTACGATGCAAATTTGTGGTTTAGAAAGGGAAGTAACTAATTATAATTTTTACATTTTTTTTTGAATAAATAGTACTTTTTGCAAATTTATTTACCATGGTATTATAATTTCTTCTGTCTTTATTTAATTGTTTAAATCTTTATTTTTAATAACCTATCATGTTTCCGGTATTTTAGTTCTTTGGTGTTTCTATTAAAATATTACTCATTTTCATCTCCTATTCAAAGCAGTGAAATAAACTACCAAAACGTGTATTTTAATGTGTACATGTCTGAAGTATATTTGCTGTTATTTTATTTTGGTGTTTGTGGTTTTTGTCCTTTAATAACGTCAATAATTTTAGTATGATTAATTTATAGTCAATTGAAAACACTGTTCTGATTTTTTTTCTTTTTTTTGGAGTTTTAGACTTCTAACTGTAGTTATATCTAAGAAATTCAATAAAACGGTTTCTCCCAAAAAAAACATATTCAACAATGACCAGAAAACACAAGGAAAAAAAAAAGAACATAAGCATTGGAGAAGAAAACATATATTAAGAAAATTAACCACATCACCAACATCAAAATGTCATATAACCAATTTTTAACAACAAATTTATAATCAAGTCACGTTAATTATCTTCTTCATCACCACCTACTATTAGTCATCTTCTTCTCAATCTTAAGCACGGCTCCATTTCCCTTTCCTCCAAACTTTGCAAGGCCTTAGATCAGTGTAAGCAAACTCCAATCTCTCATCAGTAGTTTTGAAGTAGACACCATATCGCATGTAGTTGTTGTTGATCTTATAGACTCGACCAGACCACCATCCATCGTTAAACCACGCTTCCACATCTTCTAACAATTCATATCAACACGCCCTTAAAATAAGTTGAGGAGGATTAGGTCTTATATCTAGGCCTCTTGCTTCTTCCTTTAACAACTCTATTCCACCCACCGTTCTCAGTGTTTGATACTGTGTATCTGTTTTCCCCTAAGTAGCTTATAATCTTTGCAGAGTACCATGAGCCTTATAACAGTGTATCTTCTTCTATGGAGGTTTGAAGCATTCTCTCTGTACACAAAAAGGAACGCACAAACTGTGAGAATTATAACAGTGTAAACACCTATATTCAACAAATAATTAACAAGATTAGTTAATAGCAAGACATTGTATGTAGTAGCCATACTTGTAAGAATTAATCCATCGTCCATTGATCCACTCTTTCCCGGGCCTCAAATTGAAATGTAGGACTGTCAATTCTTCACCCGTGGAGATGAAATAGACTAAGTACATTGAACCTCGTGCAAGCACTTTGGAAACCCTGCTGATCCACCACCGTTTGTTGAACCAAGCATCAACTTCATCCCCTGGTTCATAGCGTGCAACAGGCGAGAGTTGTGAAGGAGGAACTGGTCTTATGTTCTGGGCTTCTACCAAATCTCTCAGAGGGATAGACTCGTCGCCATCTCTTGAAAATCTCAAGTGTTCAACAATGTCCTTATCATCAGCTAATACATTAAGTATACGTGCACAATACCAAGAACCCGTGTAAGCTTCTTCACTTCTGACTTCCACAATAGCACCCTTCTTATATTGAGCTCTTTCTTTGGATTTTATTTTTAGTTTTTGATACTTTTGGTCGTCGATTCCAATACATTTCCCTGTGATCAAAGAATTGTGAGTACATTAAGGCAAATCCCAACAAATCTTCCAACTCAATTGCTCAATATATATATATATATATATATAGTCACTGCGCCTGAATTTGGCGAACATACAATAGGAAAAGATTTTAAAGCACGGATCTCAGAACTAAGTCGTGAAAGCTTTAACATTCTCCATTCCCTACCAAAAATTCTCAGAACATAGCCATCAAATTGTCAAATGACAAAGAATGTATCGAGAAATTCTTAGAACTTGCCGTCTTCCACAACCACCTCATAAGCTTTCCTTTCCATCTACACAAAACATAAAGATGACAACAATAAGAAACAAGTTCTAATTCCTGGGCAAAGTTACTTATTGAGCAGAGATAAAAAGAATGGATACTAACCGGACCAAGATACTTAATGCAATGTTGTTGTAGTTTCAATGGAAGACATTTCTCCACAAGATTTACTTCTTTCCCCTCGCCAATATGAAGCCTGCAACATTTGAATCAAACCCATTTCTAAGTTTAGTTACTTGATTTAGGACAAAAAAAGAAAAGAAAAGATAATGAGTAGGTGGGAAGAAATTACCAGTAGAAGAAAGGTTCTCTACTCTGACAGTGGAGCCATTTGTTGTAGTAAAAGTGCATGTTCTGTCCATACCGATGTCTTGGGTCAATCTGTTGGCAGAAAGTTCATAAACGAAACTGAGATTAGTCACAAACACAGCGCTTCAAGCCAGTGTTGTTAAGCAAGGTTTTGAGCCTTCCCGTTCTTTGACAAACCTTTACAAACCTTAGCTGCTCTCAATTTCTCTCTACGGAACTGAGCAAGCAATGGATTCTTCAAGTCTTTCCAATTCTCAAAATCCTTACGAAGAAACCAATCGAGATACAAAAAAAGAGAGAGAAAAATCACCTTGGTCTGTTGGTTTGACCCTGAAATCGGTAATTGAAACTGTTTCCGCGGTGCCAAACTTTTGCTTATTAGATTTTCGGCTCAGGACAGGACGAAGACATATCTCTAGCCCAGAATATTAACCAATAGAATCAACTTGCTCACAATTATTGTGAAACCCTAATTAAGCAAAAATTTATAAAAACTTGATATAAGGTTCCCGAATCGAACCCAATCTTTGAAGAACAGAAAAATCTGGAGATTGAATTTTACATGGTTTTTTCTCGAACTGATAATGAATATATAATCTTACAACGGCAACAGTTAAGCTCCGTCAGAACAAAGTCTGGCGTGATCGGAACCTCTAAAGACCTTCTCGGAGAGACTCGTAACGAATGAGGAAGAGAAGACGTTTCTATCTGATGTTTTTTCGAGAAAAGTTTTTTTTTTTAATTAAGATTTGTGGGGGACACGTGTCACTCTCTCCCTTGCTGACGTGGCGATCAGCTGGAGAGAGTTGATCACGTTTTATATATAAAATAATACTATTTGTAATTCAAATTGAAAAATATACTCTAAATGATGTAACCGAGGAAAAAAACAGTAATAATAACTAAATATATCGAAAACAATGTTGACGTGATCTTGAATTACCAATACTAAATTAAACTGTAACCTTTTTAATATGTTCATATCTGATTTGATAAGGCAAATTATCAATTATTGGGTTATAAGAAGATCAGGTATCTTTAGAGTTTTATAATATATATAAGAAATAATAATCATCCGCTAGAACACGAAAACAATGGGTGGTCTAATTATATAGAGGTCGCCAGTAAAATCCATGTGCTCTTTAACTTTTTTTTTTCTTAAGTTGTGAACGGCCCCATTTTAATAATTTTATTAATCCTTTTCTTTTTGGTGTCCAATGATTAACTAAAATCAATGATAAGAAATTTACTTATAATACTCATAAACTAAGAAAATGGATTGAGCATGCATAATAAATAGTCACTAACCCGCCCTTTCCGTTGGACAAATTATACGTTCATGTGGGTTATACTTGAACCACATGATTGGAAGGTTCAGAAAGCAAGATTACTTTAAATTAATTATGCAATTTAATAATGATTAATCGACAACCGAACAAGCATATTTTCCGAAAATTGCCCCATCATTTCACGGAAATTCAGGGAGATGTTGAGAGAAGATGGTCCAACTTGTAGTAAAAATATTTACAAAGATCGGTGTCATTGATTATTTGCTGTACGTCTTAATTATTGATTAAACTTTGGTCGTAATGCTGACTTCCAATTAATAGGAAACATAATTTAAGGTGAACGCACTTGAGGACCCAATACGATTAATCATATAATAATGTTGACCAAATACGATTAGTGGAATTTTACCGCCCAATTCCACTTGCTGTATATATACATGTGATGTGATTCGTGAACAGTTGACCATACTGAGGCATCGTCTAACAAATTATATTGGTAGGCAATTAAAAAAAACCTCTAATCATAGAAGTGATCAATACATACTATAGATTCAACACACACACACATTAATAGACATGTTGATCAGAATTACACATTTTTTACACGATCTTTATATATTTTAAAACAATATATGTAATCACTTGATAAAACTATAACAATCAATTTTTTTGGCCAATAAAAAAAACACTATAATGAAAATGTTTTTGGTCTATTGGTGTTAGGATTCTTGTGTTTCCAACTTAAAACCAATAACTGAATTAACCCAATTCTCTTATATATTAGTATAAGTTTTTTTAACTTTAAATTTTGGATGTAAGATTCTAACATACCCGATCTTAATAATTCTTATCAGTCTGTTTCTAACCAAATTTCACTTTATAACCGATAAATAATTTTTTTTGAGTCACTTTATTTAAGTCAACAAACAATTTTTATATTATGTTAATTTTTTTAGATTTTTAATTCAAAACCAATTAGCAATAAGTGAATTAGCTAAATCTTTTATATATTAGTATTAGTTTTTCAAAGTTTAAATTTTTGGATGTAAAATTCTAACAAGTGGTTAGTTCAATTCAAAACTGTTCATTATAAACATGATACATGTAAAATTTTCTGTTGTAGATCCTTTTCAACGTGTAGATTGCCTATTTGTTCTCATAAAAAACAACATCAACAATACATATAATTTGGACTTTTTCTGCTTGTTGGACACAAAGTAGTTAGATTTGCCATAAACAACCAACGTCTAGTAAAAAGGCCACGTGTTGAGAACCCACATATCAAGAAAATGTAGGGATTACATGCACATGCGAATACACAATAGATCAATCTTCTATCTTAAAAAAAAGAAAAAAAATGGTTATCGAAAATCAGACCAGATTTCGTTTTTACCGCTAAAGTCTCTCTCTCTCTCTTCCCTTATATCATCGACTCAACTCTCCTTCCCCCTTTCCCCTTTCCTTCTTATCAAACTCTAACTACCCCAACAACAGAAAGAGAGAAGGAGACAAGATTGTTTAGGAATAAATAAACAAAACAAAGAAAGGAAGAAAGAAGAGATGATGGAAGAATTGATGAAGCTTAAGGAGACGGAGCTCTGCCTTGGCCTACCCGGAGGCGTTGAAACCGTGGAGACGCCGACCAAATCAGGTGTGGGGAACAAGAGAGGCTTCTCGGAGACAGTTGATTTCAAACTCAATCTTCAATCTAACAAACAGGGACATGTGGATCTCAACGTTACCGTAGCTCACAAGGAGAAGACCAAAGACCCCGCTAAGCCTCCTGCTAAGTAAGTTCCAATTCCTCAAAAGAAGAATATATCGGTATTGTATATATAGTTCTTTAACTACAAGATACATGTAAAGATTTATGGATGAATAGATAATATACATATGGTTGCATTAAATAGTGACATGAATGGGTGTTTAACGGTTATATACTTCATGTAGAGCACAGGTTGTAGGTTGGCCACCGGTTAGGAACTACCGGAAAAGTGTTATGGCTCATCAGAAGAGCAGCGAAGTGGAGGAGGCATCAAGCTGCGGAGGAGGACGAGGAGGAACCGTCGCCTTTGTGAAGGTTTCAATGGATGGAGCTCCTTATCTTCGAAAGGTTGACCTCAAGATGTACAAAAGCTACAAGGATCTCTCTGACGCCTTGGCCAAAATGTTCAGCTCCTTTACAATGGGTACGAATTCACATACATAGTTTTCGATTGTCCGTTTGCTTTCTGCGTTTTCGGTCTATATTTTATTTCCAAACGTAAACGCAATATACACAAAATTATATGTTTTGAGTTGGCATGTTTTATATTGTAGAAATATATATTTCTCTTTCATATATGACCCGTTTGTAAATTTCTCTTTCACATGTAAATGCAAACTTATACACAAAAAAATTGAAGCCAATGCTTGAGGTCATACTCTTTATATGATATTAGACTAACATTTTCAATTTGGGGGTTTGAAGGGAGTTATGGAGCACAAGGGATGATAGATTTCATGAACGAGAGTAAAGTGATGGATCTACTGAACAGTTCTGAGTATGTTCCAAGCTACGAGGACAAAGATGGTGACTGGATGCTAGTTGGTGATGTCCCCTGGCCGTGAGTCTCTCCATTTTCTTGCTTTCATTAACTGCCTCTTTAATCTTTTTAAAATATGTGTTTTTTTTTATCTAAGTATTCGAGCCAAAACCAATTAATCTCTAACTCGATCGAGTAAATCAATATTATCTGATAAATTATCAGAAACGACTAAAGGATACTCGAAATCCATGTGTTACAAATACGCACAGCCAAGTTTTGGTTAGCATGGGACATATATATATATATATATATATATATATATATATATATATATAATTGTTGGCTCATTTGTAGCTGGCAAACTTCATTATTGGAAATTTTTAGATTTCAATTTTAGTGAATAATCCAGATTGATGTCCTAATTAGAACCAAAATGCGATTTCAGGATGTTTGTCGAGTCATGCAAACGTTTGCGCATTATGAAAGGATCAGAAGCAATTGGACTTGGTACGTTCTCTTCATTGTTCGTTGCCTTAAGCGACTCTTAAGAAAATTCATAAAATCTAATTGTTGTTCTTGTTTTTTTTTTGTTTTACTCAATTTGATTTCAGCTCCAAGAGCAATGGAGAAGTGCAAGAACAGATCCTGAACAAAAAATGAGGACAATATGCATGATGGGTTCTTGAATTTTTATTTTTTATTGATCTTATGTGTTTGTAATTTTTAATATTGGAGCGTATATAGGGAAATAGAAGTTTTCAAGAAAAAGAAGTCACAAATTTGTATTTGACCTGAAGATCGAAACTTTAAATATCTATGTGTTTTTTTTAATCTCTTATATTAAAGTAGAAATTTTTTTTTTTAAAGTGTAAATGTGATAGTGATTTTATAGAGTTTTAATGTTAGTTAAGCTATTTGAAATGCTCACTCTATCTAAATTTTAATAGTGGTTGAATTTAGGTTGAAATATTCTTTTGCGTTGGTTTTTAATAAATTTTCCAATTAGCAACTATTTCAAACACTATAAACCGTGCATGAGTTTTTATATTTTTTTCTAATTTTTACGTGAATTCATTTTATTCTACGTTTATTGTTTTTTTTTTTTTGTTTCTGAGGATGTAATTAGGATATCTTAATTGACTTCTTTATTGGTTCTCTAGTTATCTAGGAAGAATTTATTAAATTCAGGACCCATGAGAGGCGTAGGGAACAAGAGCATGTGCATGTTCATGGGTCTTTCAATTCATCCTTATTATGTTAATTTACGCTATTTGGCCGGTCACGAGAGAAAAAAAATAGATACTTTTAAAATCAAAATAAATTTGTCTAGTAAATACTGAATCATAAAATAGAAAATATAGCACTTAGCCTTGAGATTATAATTTTATTTCGAGTAAGATGTCATTCCTTTAAAGTAAGAATTATTTATTTTATGTAGTATTTCTTTCGCTATATGTATAGTATAGTTATAATTAGAAACAAGATAGAGTAGGCTAGCATTTGAAAAAAAGTGATTAGAAAAGAAAAGTGTGTCATGTATAAGAAAAATTAGGATACTGGTCCGCGTACGGATTTAAACGTTTTTCTACAATTCGAATGTTACTGAATACAATGTTAATTTTATTGGACCGATTTCCATTTAATATACTGATAGTTTATAGTGTGTTCTGATGGACTCATATTTATTTGCAGTTTATTATTGTATAATTAATATTTATGTATAATAAAGAAAATAATGATGAAGATCACATCTAATTTCCAAAGAACCTTTAATTTTTTGTTTTTAAAGTATTTTTTGAAATGTATATTTAAGAAATACTATTTTTTGTAATATAGATAAAGATAAGATTAATTTTAAAAAAAATGCATATTCTTTGTGAATTTGGTGAAAATTCAGTCAAATCTTAGTCAATACTAGGTGAATACCCGCACGTTACATGCAGATTTTTTTTTTCAATTTTTTCAATTTTTTTTAAATATTTTTATAAACATTAATATAATTATCACTTGCTACTTACTTACTTGTTAATATTTTATTCTAAATTTTTTTAAAATATTAATTTCAAATACATATTGAATACTATTTAATAATTTAAAATTATATTAAAATTAATAAATATCATTCAATATTTTTAATTAGTTATAACATAAATTATTGTTTAACATTTACACAAATATTAATTAATAGTCAATTAATAAAAAAAATTAAAATTAATATAATTATTATTTCATTTGTTACTTGTTAGTAATTTATTATAAATAATCTTAAAAATTAATTTAAAATACATCTTAAATATTATTAAATAATATACAGTTATATAAAAATTAGATACATATCTATCAATATTTTTAATTAGTTATAAAATAAATTTTTATTTAACATTAATATAAATGTTATATAAAATTTAATTAATAAAACAAATTTTTCATATTCTTTAAGTGATTTAAAATTTAATATTAAAATTTATGAATTAAAATTTAAGTGACAGGTGTCAACCTCTCTAATGCTGATGTGTCAAGCATATGGAGAATGTTGTAATTACAAACGACTTTTGGAGAAATATAAACACATGGAAAAACATGAAGGGTCACTCTCTACTTACTCTATAAATAAACAACACAAGAAAAGTTTCATGAAGTAACCAATAAAAAATTATTTCACTCAAAGAACGATACAACAACTATTCTTCTGATATGATTTCTCAGAAACGTACAAAAAATATGTTTACATAAATTTTTTTTTTCCAACATAGTATTTTTGTGCTTCTTTGAAGAATCAGATCAGTATAAATAGTTTTTTTCATTGTGTGAAAACAAATAATTTTCATTGTGTTACTTGTCAATGCTCACTTTTGACAAGAAGTACATAGTAAATACTTTCTACAAAATTCAAGAGAGAATATTGACTGTGCACTTCTTGTAGAGTGAGATACAAGTAATATATAAATTTTGAAAACCAAAATGTGTAACAAATACAAACCTATTAAGTGGAAGTCAAAATATTTATCTATAACGTTTTTCCTATTTAACCGCTAATTTAGTATTATTATTTTTTATTTGCATTTCTTTGAAAACACTTTATTTCCAGAATATAGTTAGTTATGTATGTCAGTTGTATTTCAACTTTTGAAATTTCAATCATTTTCTCTATGATTTTGAGATTTTGTGAGATATTTGTTTATTTTAAATATTAATTTATGAACAATGTGCATAAATTATACTTAAAAGTTACGATAATAAAAGTGTATTAACTGTTCAAAGATGATAAAAATATCAATTTATGCAATATCTAACTGCTGAAAATGTAATATTTATGATTTAAAAAATGATTTAACTTAGATTTTCATAAATTACCGCTTAATATGTACTGTAAACATGGAAGATAAATAAAAACAACAAAAAGGAGAAACTTATTGAAATAAAGATTTGTCATGCAATTATCAACATAATATTAAGATTGACATTTAAATGTCATAGTATGGGAATAACCCCTTTGCATAGCAAGCTTCTTTGAAGGTGTCGTATAAAACACCATTAAATGTTCGGATATCTTTCATAACTGCATAGCAAGCTTTTTTGAAGGTATCGTATAAAACACCATTAAATGTTCGGATATCTTCATAACTGCAAGGACCTCTAATGATATTCAACAGACAGTCCAAATAAAATATCTCTCCATCTAAAATTGAATACTGTTGAATAATTGTTGAATTCCCTATACCCCTTAACCGAGGCCTCTATTCTTTAAATGTGGCATTCCAGAAAAAATTGAGATAGTTCTGTATAGAGCAGGGATCTGGACGTCTCGTATATCTTGTTACACTCCATCCAAGCAATAAATTTGGTATTTTTCATAAGTTTGTCGTCCTTGTTTTGCTTTGTGAATTTGTTTTTCGTAGGTGAAATTTCATTATCTCTGAAAACCGAGAAAAAAACTTGTTAAACACTTGTTAAGGGAATCTAATAATGTACGCTAAGAAGTTCAAATGTCTAATTCTGTTTATATCTATTAAATGAAAACAAATGGAGAAAAATTTCATGTTGCTATAATAAGGTTCGTAATCGATAAGAGTGGAATGCAAAAGACTTACCTATCCTGTTTATAGCAATAGAGAAGAGGAATAGAGAAAATTTGATAGCAGTGTAACTAATGAAGTTGCAGTTCACAAAAAGTATTATGTATATATATAGATGGAATAATTAGGGTTTAAACGAATATATGCAATTTTATAAAAATTGCAAGATGCATCTGGTTTTAGAAAGTAATAACAGTAGAAAAATATATTTCATGTTATAATAATTTAATAAAAAATCCAGAATATATGATTATATAATTCAATTTATACATAATAACTTTCAAATAATATTAGTAAGAAGTTATCAGAAGACAATATTATGTTTCCATATTGTATTGCGGATTAAGTTAAACTGTAAAAGATTTGTAGTCTCAGCCCATTTGTTACAATTGATTGCATTAACTCGTGTAAATATTATGTATTATATGAATAGCAAAAGTAAAAAAGTCAGACTTCCCAAGAAAAAATTGGAACTTTTGAGGACATTGAATATTTTTAACTACCATATCCTATATAATAACTTGAGTTCTTCTATTACAACATATTTCTACAAATTTTTCTAAAGTTTTTATCGACTGAATAAAAGTTCTTAAAAAAATAGAAAATCACGATGAAAGAACTTATGATGAAAATGGATTGCTGATCATTAGACCACCACCATTGATCATGCGATTTGGTGTGGTAGAACCAACGTCACCACCTCCAATTTCTGAATCGGAGTTTGAGAAAAATAATATGGGGGAAGAGATGCAGAACTACCTGAGCGAATCAACTGCGAAAGCCATCGAGGTTCATTCAGAGATAATTTAAGCTTAAAATTAAACAGTTTTTATAATGTACTTTCTATTAGTGTATGGTAAATTCAACATGTAATCTCTACAGCCTGATGGAGAAATATCAACCGATGAAACTCCAGAGAAACGTTGCAAGAAAGGAAAACACGATCTTTATCTAGATCTGGAGATATGTTTGAAATGTATACAATGCAGCTTCGTTGAATCAGAGATCCGCTACCTAGATGCATTGGAGTGGGTAAGCTCTTAATATTTCATGAAGTCATTGATTTTTTACAACTACTATGTTTGATATTAACAATATTATCTATGTTTGGTTCTTCAAGGTAGATAAGAAGAAAAGTGGAAGGAAAATTTTTGGAATGTAGCTAAAATTATCTCTTGTTCTAAAATATTATCTCTGAATGTTTGCTACAATAAGAGGTTATCTTTATTCTAATAAAATTGTCTTCTTTTACATTATGCAATTTGTGTGAATTGATTGACAGATTAAAAGTTCATAAGCTAAATTGATTATAATCTGCTAACATTATAACAGCGATAAGATTTTATAATTTTTCCTACTCATAATTGGAACATATGAAAAAGATAAACATCAGTTGTCAAAACTGAAAACAAAACGTCAGTCGCAATTAGTTTCTATTGACTCTTACACGTAAAGTTTGATAACAGTGCAAACATATCTTAATGAGAGCTAAGTTACCTATATTACTTTTTCAATATTTGATTGGTTTTGTTGTTGGCTTTTAAATAAAATATCCAAATTTACGTGAACTCATATTTGGACAATAAAAGTTAAATTTACGAATTACTTGAAGATCCATAGTAAGTCCTATAGCATGTTGTTAGCAATGAAATAACAAATAATCCCTGGCACTTATGTG